ACTGCGCAGCAGGATGCAGTTGGTGTCCTCCTGGCAGGTCACCCAGCTCAGCGAGTCGCCCACCGGCCGCCGGCAGCCGGAGCACAAAAACACCAGCGGCCTCTCCTCTTCCGCCGCCTCCGCCGCCCCCTCGGGCAGCGCATTGTCCCTGTGGACCACCGCCGTGTCCCCGCTCGTGGAGTTCCACATGCTGGCCCACTTCTGCAGCAGCTGGTGGCGGCTTGAGTCTTCAGAGAGCCGCTTGCCCAACAGTGAGGAGTCGCTCCACTTGCTCTTGTAGCCACACGTACAACTGGGGGCGCATCCTCCACAAATCTGCACGCAAGCACCCGCCATTACGTCCAAATCGCCCGCGCCCCAGAGCGCCAAGGGAAAAATGCCCCTGCGCATGCGCGAGGTGGGCGGGGCGCGGTGGCGCAGGCCGGGAAGGGGGCGGAGGCCGGAGGCGGAAGGGCAGTCGGACGGTCGCTACTGCGCATGCTCGCTGCCGTGAGGCGCCGTCTCGGTGGTCACGGTGCCTGCGTCTCATTTTCTTTTCTTTCTTCTTTTTTTTTTTTTGAGTTGGCGTCTCACTCTGTCGCCCAGATTGGAGTGAGTGCAGAGGCACGCTCCCGGCCACCGCAGCCTCGACCTGCTGGGCTCCGGCGATCCTTGCGTCTCAGCCTTCCGAGTAACTGGAACTACAGGCGCGCGCTACCACGCCCGGCTAATTTTTTATTTATTGTGGAGATGAGGTCTCGCCAAGTTGCCCAGGCGGGTCTCGAACCCGCAGGCTCAGGCAATCCACTCACCTCAGCCTCCCAAAGCGCGGGATTACAGGCTGAGCCACCGAGCCCGGCTCTCATTTTCTATCCTAAAGAAATTGAGGCTCCTGGAGATCGGTTGACTAGTGTGCTTGAGAAGGGTTATTCACCAACTTGCATGGGAGGGGCGGCATCATTGAGAAAGTTACAAGCTCTAAATTAAATGACCAGCCCTCCCCGAGACCTTCCCAATGGTTAGTGACAGCGACCACGCTGTCGCACCCTACCCAGGAGGAGGGGTCGGGAGCACAAGCCTGCTTTCTATGGCCTTGTCCCTCCGTGAGATGCTACAGCCCCCTCAAACTTGGCAGGTCTAAGAATCACCTGGGGAGCTGGTTAGACAGATTGCTGGGCCCCACCTTCACAGATTCTGGTTCAGCGGGGAAGAGCTTAATCCGAGAATTTGCATTTCTGACATGATTCTAGGCATACGGACGCCGCCATACAATTATAGTTGTTATATACAGAAGCTCCACTTTTGATTACCACTGCTCCTGAGGTCCTGCTCTCCTTGACGTGGAGAAAGCAAGGGGTTGTAGGGGAGTCATTTCCTCACAGGTTCCTTTTATGCATTGTTCCTGGACGGAAACCTTGGGAAGGGCCCCGGATCACTGAAGGTATCGCTGCAAGAAGTTGAGGAAGGTGGTGTGGGCAGCAGCAGTGTCGCTGGAAAGTGTGGCAGTGTCTCTGCTGTTCCTGTCAAGGAACCAATCGCCCTAGCAAGGGACGAGCATTCCTTCATGGTGGTAAGGACGGACTTCTACAGCTGCCTCTGGCTTTAAAACACCACAGATCAGGAGGGAACAGTCCGGCAGCACCACTGACAATCTGTCAGCATATCTGGGAGGAAACCACCTCCCCAAGGTCCTGCATCTGTTCCTATTATACTCTGGGTGCTCCCCAAATCACTGCCCACTTTGCTTGGTTAGATAAACTATCTACATTTTTATTGTATTGTATTGTATTGTATTGTATTGTATTGAATTGTATTGTATTGTACTGTACTGTATTAAGTCGGAGTCTCACTCTGTTGCCTAGGCTGGAGTGCAGTGGCACCATCATGGCTACTGCAGCCTCAACCTGCTGGGATCTGGCAATCTTTCTGCCTCAACCTTACAAGTAGCTGGGACTACCATGCCCGGCTAATTTTTTAAAAAAACAATATGTTGTAGAGTCAAGATCTCGCCATGTTGCCCAGGCTGGTCTCAAACTCCTGGACTCAGGAGTATAATCCTCTTGCCTTAGCCTCCCAAAGTGCTGGAATTATGGGCATGAGCCACTGTGCCTGGCTATGTACATAAAATTTACTTCAAATTTTAGTGCATCTGGCCACTCACTAGCAAAAAACAAAAGCCTTGGAACCAGAAGTCCCAGGTTGACCTAACCCTCCCTTCACGGGTAGTAACTGCACAGGAAACTGAAGAAAGGCTGTTTGCCTTCCCTGAGTCTGATTCTTCATGGATTCACTGGGTCAGTACTGCACCAGCACCAGATTATTCATGAGGGTGAAGTGATACAGTATGCATGAAAATAGTTTGTAAAACCATTGGCTTCAAATTGGGAGAAAATGCTTCAAATATTTTTGGCTTTTTTTTTTTCACCCATAGAATTCCCTTCCTTTTGCTTATTTATTGAAGCCACACCTGACCTTTCTGGACTCTTGTTTTCAAGCACCATATCTCTGGCACAACGGTAATATAACCCACATGAGTTATTTGCATACGTGACTAGTGACTTTGGAATTCAAGGGATGAGCTTCTTGCCTCAGACTTTGGGGTCCTATTGTCAGCACTTCGAGGCTCTGGTGGGATGTCCTGGTAAAGAATGACCGCAAGGCAGGATTGTATGATGACTTCTAGGGGCCCTAGGCATGTTTGCCTTGGTGGGTCCTTTTCCTCCAGAGAAAGGTTAACACAAATTTCATTTTACAGCTGTATTGTTAGAAAGATGAATACATTAAGATTATAGAGTAGGCCAGACACGGTGGCTCATGCCCATAATCCCAGCACTTTTGGAAACTGAGGCGGGATTGCTGTGAAGCCAGGAGGTCGAGACCAGCCTGGGCAACATAGTGGGATCCCAACTCTATAAAAAATTTTTTAAAAAAAATCTGGGCATGGTGGCATGCATCTGTAATCCCACCTACTCGGGAGGATGAAATGGGAGGATCACATGAGCTGAGGAATTGGAGGCTGTAGTGAGCTAGGATCGCGCCACTGCATTCCAGCCTGGACAACAGAGCTGGCTCAAATATATATGTATACACACACACACACACACACACACACACACACACACACAGTTTTTTGCTTAAACGTTCATTTTTTTCTTCTAATTTTAAAAGAAATTAAAACATTTTCATGGGCCCTTAAAAATACTATGGACTCAAAGCACCGTAACTCCTGAGCATCACGGAGAAGTTGGCCCCAACACAAAAGGAACCACAAATGTTTTTGTATTAAGAGTATAAAAACTCAGCTGGTTGCAGTGGCTCAAGCCTGTAATCTCAGCACTTTGGGAGGCCGAGGTGAGAGGATTGCCTGAGACCGGGGGTTTGAGACCAGCCTGGACAACTTGGTGAGACCTCATCTCTACAATAAATCAAAAAAATTAGCTGAGCATGGTGGCTCGCACCTGTAGTTCCAGCTACTTGGAAGGATGAGGTGGAAGGATCACCTGAGCCCAGCAGGTGGAGGCTGCGGTGGCTATAAGTGTGCCACTGCACTCCAACCTGGGCAACAGAGTGAGACTCCAACTCAAAAACAGAAAACAAAGCCGGGCTCGGTGGCTCAGCCTGTAATCCTGTGCCTTTGGGAGGCTGAGATGAGCGGATTGCCTGAGCCCGCGGGTTTGAGACCCGCCTGGGCAGCGAGACCTCATCTCTACAATAAATCAAAAAATCAGCCAGCCATGGTAGCGCATGCCTGTAATTCCGGCTACTCGGAAGGCTGAGGCGGAAGGATCGCCAGAGCCCAGCAGGTCGAGGCTGCGGTGGCTGGGAGTGGCCACTGCACTCCAGTCTGAGCGACAGAGTGAGACTCCAACTCAAAAAAAAAAAAAAAATGTAGGCAGCCATGAAATCATATTTTATGTGTGGGCAAAATGAGATGTTTGAGTAAGATGGCCTTGGATTGGGTGGTTGTAGTGAACAGTCATTCCCACCATGCCTCCTACTTCTACAACTAGGAGGTTTGATTAAGGCCAAGTGCAACTCCACCACTATAACCACCCCTTCCAGGAATGGCTCACTAGAGGTTTAACCCATTCAGGATGACCCATCTCTCTTTTACAGCGACTGGTGCCTGAATGGCACCTGCCAGAGACTTCAGTCAATGAATGCTTGAGGCTCTCCCCTGGTGATAGGATTGGCTCAGAATAACAACTTGACATCAGTTGTCCAATTGTGTCCAGACTGAGTAAATCTCAGGACTCCTGTTCAATGGTGGAGGGAAGAGATGACCTCTTTGTTCCCTATACATGAACCAGGAGGCAAACACCCAGGTTGTTTCAGGAAGCCATCATGTAAACATGGAAGAGGGCAGAGCTGAGAGATCACAGAGAAACTGAGCACCTGGCCTCTGAACCCTTCCAGGTATGTGGACCAACCAATTCTCTTTATTGTGGAAACCAGTTGAACTGTGTTTTTGTTCTGAGATTTTTTGTTTGATTGTTTGTTTGTTTGGGGGTTTTTGGATTAGGGTCTCACTCTGTTGCCCAGGCTAGAAGTCAGTGACACAATCACAGCTCACCATAGCGTCATACTTCTCAAGTGATCCTTCTGCCTCAGCCTCCCGAGTAACTGGGACTGTAGGTGTGTGCCACCACACTCTGCTAGTTTTTAAATTTTTTATAGAGATGAGGTCTCACTATGTTGTCTAGGCTGGTCTCAAACCCCTGGCTCAAACAATCCTCTCGCCTCAGCCTCCCAAAGTGCTGGGATTACAGGAATAAGCTACTGTGTCCGGCTGATTGTTTTTACTAGCAACTGAAAATGTTTAACAATCTATTAAAGTATGTTAAAATTGAAGTTTTGGCTGAGACTTCAAAATGGGGTAAAATGAGATATTTCAGGGTGTGAGACAGTCTCCTAGAGAAGCCTTCAGAGTCAATATTGGAGAACAAATTCCCTCCTGCTCTTATACCTCTTCCCTACACTTTGAGAATATAAAAGAATAGAGAAAGTGGTGACCAAGATGACTTTGTTGGGAGGATTTCTTTGGAGACAGTCTGGGTTGTGAGTTCTTCTCCTCCTCCCCAATGGAGAGAAAAGAGGCTATCTGCCTCCTTCCTCCATTTGGCTGAGAGGAAACTTTTGTTTGCAGAGCCAGTGCATTCCAGGCATTTAGAGCCACAGTGACCCCCCAAGAGAGCCAGGCTGTTGATCTGTTTTAGTGGCATGACAAAGGTGACCTGGAGCGGTTGTCAATCACATCTGAACTTTGCTGGCAGGAAGGTCATCCAGAGTCTCCAGTTCTACCCAAGGAGATAATCTGGAGGCGTGGAGGCTGGGCAGAGGTGAGTCAAGTATGAACAGGGCCCTGGGGAACCAGGCCTGAGGGAGAGCCAGC